ATAGAGCGATTTTACAAATATTATGTTTTGTAGACAATTTTATTTCTTACAAAAAAATTTTTGTACAAAGATATTGTATCTCTTTGATTTTTCGAGATATTTAAAAAATAAACAACAAATTCCCACCTTTTTTTACATTTTTTTTAAATATCTCAAAAACTAAGCAAGATAGAGCGATTTTACAAATATTATGTTTTGTAGACAATATTATTTCCTACAAAAAAGGTTATATAGAAAGATATTGTATTTCTATTACTTTTCGAGATATATAAAAAAAATTAAACACAAATTCTCACCTTTTTTTAAATTTTTTAAAATTATCCTAAAAACTAAGCAAATAGAGCGATTAAACAAGTGTTATGTTTTGTAGACAATTCTATTTCCTACAGAAAAGGTAATATACAAAGATATTGTATTTCCCTTTCTTTTCGTGATATATTAAAAAAATAAAAACAAATTTCGACCATTTTTTACATTTTTTAAAACATCTCAAAAACTAAGCAAGATAGAGCTATTTTACAAATTTTCTGTTTTGTAGACAATTTTATTTACTACAGAAAAGGTTATATACTGTTACGTCATGATAAGAGATTTCACGAGTGGCCGCTGTCACTAGTTCTTACTTGAAGAGTAAGAACGAACTCAGAGATTTCTCAACCGGTCACGACTTTGCAGTCGTTTACTAGGATAAGAGAAAGAAAGTCAGTGCCTGTTTTTGGGTCAGCCTGCTTATCCAGTACTTTACCCGGGATAGGCTTTACTCGCGGATACCGGAGCGTCGGACGTCAATACAATAAATAAAACTCAACCCTGGATATTAACCAAATCTTTAATTCTTACCTGGTTTCCGGTGCTAGCCAATGGGAGATGCAATACAAATATACCGACTGAAATTGGCGTTTAAAGGAAGGGTGTAGTTGTTAAATCACAATCACAATGTAGAATAACAATATAGTATATTTTAAAATTTAAATTTAGATTTAAATTGTTAAACAATAAACACCTTGTTACACACACACACAATTATTAATGAACAATGTTAACGGAATATTAATTTGGTAATAAATAATGGACTTGGGCTTGCCAAGATTTATAATAGCAATAATAACTAAGGTTTAAATGTTTAAAGTCAATGACTAAGTTCTATTAAACAAGAGAGAGAGAGAGAACTTAGTAACAAAATTTAAATAAATTGATTGTAAATCAACATAAGTTAAAATACTAAGGTAATATTCATAAATCGTCAATAATCGTATAAGAGCACACCAGGCAAATGCCGTTCCACTTATGAACACACGATTTAGATATACGCAGTAGTAGATTAATATAATAATACTTAAAATCAAARCCAGACGAACATTAGACAAATTTAAGATACGTACTCAATAATTATATAAGGTGGACTTTATAAGTACACTTGGAGTACCAGAACAAAACTTAAGACAAATTTTTGACACGTACTAAATGATCATATAAGGTGGACTTATAAATAAACTCAGAAACTAAACAACCTTTAGACACGTACTTAATAATGATATAAAATGAACTAGAACAATTTTCGACTCGTACTCAATTACTGTATATGGTGGACTGACTTCATGGACGAACGCAGCATCAAAAGAAGCGTCCGTTTCGGAAGAGTGGGAGTACCTCCCACTTACGCAAAAATGCTTCCTCCACTACTGACTTCCACACCGTGAGACCCAAGTCAAGGAGAAGAATTCGCTGACAAAAATATTAGCTACTATCAAGCGCGAATTCTTCGACGAAAAATAGGTATTACTTACATTGGAATTTGATCAAGCGCGAATTCTTCGAAGAGAAATAAGTATTACTTACATTGGAATTTTATCAAGTGCGAATTCTCCGAAGAAAGATGAGTGTCAGTTACATTGGAATGTTATCAAACGCAAGTTTCTGGAACGGCGCCGTCAGCAAAAATGCACGTGCAGACAGAATATGAGTAACGAATATAATAAAGTATGAATATTTTATGCACATTGAAATAATAATTTAAAAGCAATCATTCCAATATAACGTCGACCGATAAGTCAGTACTGGAAGAAGGCAATGTCGGCATTACCGACATTTACTTATCGACTAAACTAGTTACCGACCGACACTRTCGGTAATGCAGATTCCCCTATGAACGACAATGGATTCTCAATACTCTATTTTATCCATTCTACAAAATACAATTTGTCAATGGTCGTTCATAAGAAATACATAATTATCTTTACAAAGAATAGTAACAATAAGGAAAAGAAACTGTAATTACCAAATATTTAAGTATATAGCGTGAAAACAAGGTACATTAGCGCGAACGAAAATTATCTATTATGATTG